ATGTGGATACACACGCAGAAATAATGCATGTAAAGGTGAAAGTAGATAGGGTGATGCAGCAGGAGGCAAGAAATATGACAGGCTAGGAGAGTGACAGCAAAACATCTCAAGCTAGGAGAGAGACATGGGATAAATTTCTCCCTCACAGTTCTCAGAAGAATCTAAGTCTGCCATTACCTTAATCTTGTACTTCTAAACTTCGGAACTCAGAGACAATAAATTGCTATTGTTTAAGCCACCCAGTTGATGGTACTTTTTTACAGCAGCCTTATCAAACTAATACACTCTTTGCTTAAGATTCAAATCCCTAGGAAGGAAATTTTGATTTTTCCCTGACCAAACAAAAACTTAGCTATACCAGAAGATAAGATAACGAAAGTATCGAATTGATTTTGAGATTTTAGTCCTAATGATTGGGAAGATGATGATTCCCTTAATTGAAATTTAGAACATTTGAAGTTCAAACAAGTTTTATAGATAACCTGATGTCTTATATATTTGAGTTTGTAGTTGTGATGAAGCATCCATGTGGAGATGCCCAGCAAGGGATTAGAAATATAGATTTATAGCTTGAGAGAGGGGATCAAGGTAGAGCTGCACATATGAGGATAAATTTTTTAGAGGTACCTTTTAAAGAAATTGGATTATTAATCGTTAACTGTGGTCTGGAACAGGAGAGAGCCGACTATAACTTAGAGGTTGCACCATATCAGCATTGTGATGGTTTCTGTAGGCAGCACTTGAAGAGTTGGGAGAAACAATTACTGCTGGCCATTAGCTAAAATTTTCAGGGCAGGCAGGGAAGAAAGAAACTTATTCAAAAATTCAAGTGCCAAATTTCATAGTGAGAAATGATGTGGGCTCCAAATAATCGGAGTCGAAGCAAAAGCATAATACAGAGAGGAAAATTTAGTAGAAAAGTCATATTAAAATTAGCTGGTGCCAAGACAATTCACTGGGGGAAATAATAGTCTTTTCAACAAATGATGCTGGGACATCTGAATATCTTAATGCAAAGGAATAAAGTTGGACCTGTACTCATACCATACATAAGTATTAAAACTCAAAATGAATCAAAGACCTAGATATAAAAGGTAAAACTATGAAACACTTAGAAGATAACGTAGACATAAACTTTATGACCTTAGATTAGGCGATCAGCTCTTGAATATGGTAGTAAAATACAAGCACCAATACTGAAAATAGATACATAGACCAAACTTTTTGTGGTTTAAAGGACCCCATCAAAAAATAAAAAGACAACCCACAAAATAAGAAAATAAAAGTTTTCAAATCATATATCTGATAAGGAATTTATATATAAAATACATAGGAAAATATTACAATTCATAATAAAAAGACAAATAACTCAATTAAATATGGGCAAAAGATCTGAATAAACATTTCTACAATACAGAGATACAAATGACCAACAGGTACATAAAATGATGCTCACATAATTAGCCATCAGGTAAATGGAAATCAAAACTTCCATATACACTCACATGAACTAGAATGACTATAATAAAAAGAAAAGTAATAATAAGTAAGGATGTAGAGAAATTGAAACTCTTATATACTGATAGAAGACAAGTTAAATGGTGCTATCACTTTGGAAAAGTCTCTGGCATTTTCTCAAAAGGTTAAGCATAACATTACCTACCACATGATCCAACTATTCTATTCCTACAGATATAACTGAAAGAAATAAAAACACATGCCTACACAAAAACTTATACACAAATGTTCATAGTAACATTATTCATAATTACCCAAAGTAAAAGCAACCCAAGTATCCATCAGTTGAAAAATGGATAAATGATATATGCTATCTTCTTACAATGCAATATCATTTGGCAATAAAAAGGAATGAAATACTATTTTTTTCTACAACCTGAATGGACCTTTAAACATTAAAGGAAAAAGTCATTCAGAAAGGATCACATATTATATGATTTTATTTGTATAAAACGTCCAGAATAGGGAAATCTATGGTGATAGAAATTACATTATTGGTTGCTTAGGACTGGGAGTGGAGAGCAATAAGGATGGGAAATTATGACTAAGGAATATAGAATTTTTTTTTTCCCCCGCGGGGGTTTGATGAAAATGTAAAATTGTGCTGATGTAAAATTGTAAAATTGTAAAATTGTAAAATGTAAAATTGTGCTGATGTAAAATTGTAAAATTGTAAAATTGTAAAATGTAAAATTGTGCTGATGTAAAAATGTAAAATTGTGCTTAGTATAGCACACCTTTGTGCTATACTAAGAACAACTTTGGGTGAACTGTATGGTATGTGAATTGTATCTTCATAAAGCTGTTAAAAATTCTACTTAAGTGCAGAGTTGTGGAAAATGATGGCATAGAGAACAGGTTTCAGGAATGGTGTACAGTATTATCTGTTTGACACAGGCTCCAATAGATGCTAAAGGCAAAGTATCATGTTCCTAATTGAAAGTAGAAGAACAAAAACAAAAACAAAAACAAAACAACAACAACAAAAACCTCCTTGCTAGCAAAGATATACTGCTTGTCTTATCTGTTCAGTCTGTTATAACAGAAATATCATTGACTGGATGGCAAATAAACAATAAAAATTTATTTCTTACACTTCTAGAGGCTAAGAAGCCAAAAAATAAGATGCGGGTTGATTTGGGCCTTGTGAGGGCCCACTTCCTGGTATAGACGACTATTGTCTCACTGTGTCTTCACATGACAGAAGGGAAAGGGAGCTCTCTAGGATTTCTTTTATACAGGCACTAATCTTATTCATGAGGATTCTGTTCTCATGACCTAATCACTCCCCATCACCTTAGAAAGGTAGGTTTCAATATATGAATGTTAGGGGGATACAAACATTCAATTCATAGTATTTTTTTAGTGAGGAATCTCAAGAAACATGAAAAAAACAAATCTTTTAAAATAAATGTCAACTGTTTTATATTGAGTCCCCTCCCTCTGTTCTTTCCTTAACAGCAACCTAGCCAATTTTTCACTAATGGAACAGTCTAATTCTTGTATTTAAAAATTAATCCTTTAAGTTTACAACCTAAATCGCAATCTAGTGCTAAACCATTCTCCTTCATCCCTTACCCCCCCACCAGAACATGCTGGAGCTATGCAGGAGGGAGTTATTGTCTGGCTCTTAGACATTTCCTCTGTCTCCTCCCCTTTAACTCATTCTCCACCCCTTTCCACTTCTTCCCTACCATTTCCCTCCACCTTTTTTTAGTAGCCATCTTTGGGGTGGTGATGAAGGAAATGAAGAAGGAGCAAATTTGCCGTGGTTCAGAGCAGATTCCTAGGTACACAAAGAGCCCCATAAGCTTGCTCTTAGCTCTCTGATAAGGACCTGACTGCAGAAAGGCTTTGAAGTGGCCTTTATTTCCCCTTTCTTTGGTATCTTTCCAAATACTAGTATTGGCTTCTTTGCCCAAAGGACCATGATCCCCCTTTCTTGCTGCTGTTGAGACTTGACCATTATTCTTTATGTTATTTTACTCGAATCCTTAGAAAAAAATTTAAACCATTTCCACTCTACTCCCAATCCTATGAGTTACTTATGGGCTGTTAGTTGTTATAGGTCATTAACTCTAGAAATTTAGCATACAGGTTATTACACATAAAGTACTATAACTACATTGTTGACGTTTCTTTTTTTGGTTTATCTTATCTGAGGGGTGTAAAAACTAAATTGTCAAGGACATCAGCAGATATCATCACTTCACTTTCATCCTTTTATTGCTTCTCCTCCTTCATAATCTAATATTTTCTCTTGTTCTTCATTTCTTTCTTCAAAATATCAGATTCCAGCTGACACTCTAGGCAAATCCAGTGAAACCATTGGCAGATGGAAACTGTGCATGTGCACAAGCATGTGTACAAGCATGTGTGTTTGTGTTTTCTCATTAATTGCTTCATTCTATAGATTTAAGTCACTTTACCCAGACGGTGGCATGTTGAACACAAAGGCAAACTAAATACTGCATAATTTACTTCTAGCTCTTCTAAATACTACCATACTCTTTGGTGACTTGGGCAGCAGTGGTAATTATATTTGTAAACTTGTCTTTTTTGTCAAAACTGGCAGTGGCTTTTTTGACATCTCTAAAAATGATACCGACAGTATGGAGAGCCCTTGGGGTGGTCCACATGTAACTTTTTTTAAAGAAAATAAATGTCACAGTACTGTGGAAACAATCATATTTTCTGGCACTTAAAATCATACTTCACCATGTCACAGTAAAAATAACTTAGGACAACAGAAATGACTTTAAGAATATTGTGGGAAACATAGTGAGATAGAAATCATACATTTTTAAGCTCTTTTACCTAGTTCTCTCATGCTAACTCCATAAGGTGTAGCTACCCAATCTATGAGCTGGTCAGGCATGAAAAACTCTCACTTTTCTTTATGCCCTCTTTGAGTAGATAATTTTAGATCCACAATTGATAATTTTTCCAGATGTTAGGCAACACAGATTTTTGGATGACTTTCAGAGCTACAGAGGAAAAGTGGGAACCTACAAGCAAAAAGGGATAATTCAATACTATTTGACTTGAAATTCTGAAGTATGACTCTCACTTAACTGTGAGCCAAAGGAGGCCATATGCTGAAAGAAACACACATATGAAAAATGAAAAGGCATTTACTATTTGCATTCCATATACCTGTGGGCAAAAACACTTTATTTAATGATTGTCTAATTGACCTGATCGTCATGTACAAAACTGAAAGGAGAAACTGAAACTCGTTTCTATAGTTTAGTGCTATTTTTTACCAAAGTAAAACAAAGAGAATGGCAACTCAGAGGGAGAAATTACACCATGTCATGAAATATACTGAGCCCTTGGAACTGGGACCCACACCCAACTGTTGACCATGTTTTCCAATTAACTGCTCTTCTAACTACATGTGAAGAGCGTGCCTATAATACACACTGGGAAAGGAAGGTTGAAAGTGTGGGCATGGTTACAATAAATCTTCTTGTGGTTTTTAGAGGAAAGCACAAACACAGTCTGCCACTACCACAAATTATGTAGTTGAGTTTCCTATATTTGTAGTAATCGCAGGGGTCAGTATATCCGAAGAGCAATGGGTAAACCTCACTCCAGGAGAACCATTTTCATGTCCATGGTATCTCCCCAGCCAGATAAGTATCAATAAATCTTTTTCATTTTCCAGACTCGAAGTCATATCTTTTTCTCTTCTTTGGAATCTTAGAAAGTCTATTTACCTCACTTTATCCCCAAAGCTGGCTCATCATGGCTAAATTGTCCAATATAGTTCTAACTTATCTTTCTCTATTTTTTTCTCTCTCAATCTTTCTTTTCCATCCTATATATCAATAACAGATAGATTAGTTTTTCTAAACTTTATTGGTCTTAACACTCACATGCTTAAGAATAAAAAATGGCTCTTTGTTGTCCATCAAATCAAGTCTAGTCACTTTACCTTGGCATTTTATCTTTCAGTGGGCTCCCTATCCACTGGCACTCCTCTACACTTCCATCTTCATCTTATTCCAAACATTTCAAGGTCTTTCTCACTTCCTCCCCGATTTCGCCACTACCTGAGTGCTTCCCATCCACTTTGCTCCCTCCTGCAGTGTTTATCATCTGTAGTAAATCAAAATTTCTCTTGCCCCTGGAGAGTTTGATATGCCCCTCATCCTCTCACCCCATGAAGAATTATAGTTTTTGTTTTTCCTACTAGCCAAGGATTTGTAAAACTTCAATTTTCTTGATTTGTATCATGAAAGCAAAAATTATTTATTTTTAAAATAAAAATTGTTATAATGTTGAATATGTATTTTTTCAACTAACACCCACCCTTTCCACATCAAAGATACTATATTCTCCCTCCTTTAAAAATCACAAACATAGTTAAGTTGTATACTCCTCTCATGGCAACATAACCTTAACCTTTTCTAAGTGTCATCTTTAACTATTTTTTCCTCCTTGAAATCCTAAGGCACTTATAGATAACACATGTTTATATATTTCTTGTGTGTTTATTTTTAATTCTTTAATAAAATGGCTAAACTTCTTGAGAGTAGTAGCCATATCATATTTCTCAACGTTTCTCTCTAACCTAGTGCCAGGCATATGATAAATATTTAAATTCATATTATCAATCCATTCTGCTCAATACTTAGAAATTTCTACCATAAAAATGTGTCTATCTAAATTATAGTTGCTTACCAGTGCTTGGAAAAACAAAGCACACTGATAATCCATGTAGTCATAGAAGGAAAATTATAGTCTCTAAGCTCTAGGCAAATTTTGTACACATGCAAAAATATTCAGAAAAATAACATTAGGGATAATGGACTGTATGTTTCTGAGTTGAATAAAATTTTCAAGGTAATCATTACCATATTTTTAGTGACAAGTCCTCTCAATGCCTAACAGTTTCTGAGAATCTGTGGATGATTTACTCATTAATCTGTTGCTTATCATTTACCCCAACTTGTTTTTTCCTACACTAATTTATCCCATCACAAATTATCCCTTGCTCAGGAAAAAAATGTGTATGAGAAACACTTTCCACTCATCTTGCCAAACCTGTTAAGAAACATTCCACTTGTTCTTCCAAAGCTAATGTTTACCTTTTCTAATAGACATGATTTCTATCTGAAGTCTGATATTTTAGAAGTTATTATTTACCACTTTAGAAGCAATATTTTGCCCATGTTTCATAGGTAGTCACCATTTATTACTTTCACTGAATTCTGTATCAATATAATTATGGAACAAATCACTGGAATATACTGATAAGAACTAAATTATTTTCAAACTGTCTTAGCATGTACCTAGAATATCCTGTGTTTTTATAGGTATGTGGAAAATTCTACACAATTGGAAAAATGCTACTTTTTAAAAATACACTTTGTTTTCTAAAAAAAAATGAGTAATGTATTCATAAATATTCTCCTCTTCCTTGGTTTTAAAGCACTCAAGGGAGAATAAAGGTCTTCTAGTTTTTATTTACTCAAATAGGTTTTGAAATATATTACTCAATAGTGGCTTTTTTGGGGGGGGGATGCAAATACATTATTTCATTTCTTGATAATTTAAGCACACTTACTACAAATTCACTTTCATAGAGCACCAGGCTGACCTCATGTATGTGTAATAAATTATCTTCCAAGATAATGAATGTTTTAAAGCATTTTCTTGATTTATGTTATTGGCTCACCAACTATTCCCGGGGAAAATGAGGTGGAATACTTTCAGATATGCCCTTCTCACTTTCCTCCTCACACCTCTCTTTTCTGCCAAAATCTTGTTTTCACAGTTGTATTTTGTTAATGATGCTCACTCTGTGTGGTCCTATAAGGATACCATGATCCTAGACTCTTGAAAATATGGAGGGTCAGAAAATTGCTCTGTCTCCTCCTTCCTATCTTTCCTCCTCAGATCTGAGCTTATTGGATGGAAATAGGACTGTGATGCATCCTGACTAGGAGATTAAACAGATGCTCATTCCAGTGCTTTTAGTGTGTTTACACCTGTAGCCCAACTATTATGGCTGAACCATCATATCAGTCAGTGAAGAAATGTTTTTAATAAATTAATTGAACGTTTAGCTAAAATGGTAAGCTACAATCCTGAACTGAGAGGGGTAAAGGGTGATTTGTATAAGGTAACCTAAGTTATTTACAGAAAAATATACAGTGGCATTATGCTCAGTATGCATTCTGGAAAACATAAGCCTAATGTCATCTGTTTCTGCCATTGCACAGATAGGGTGTAAGGTGAATTATATTCCTGCTTTTAATTTATCACTCAGATATACTGCATAAATGAAGGTATAAATGGAATACTTCTAAAAAGTTATTGTGCTGAACTAAATTCAAATTGGGAAAAATCAATTAGCTGCAAAGAGCAAGTATATTGGAAATTTAAAACAAAATACCCTAGAAATTATGAGTTTAGCTTAAAACGCTGTCATTAACACATCCTTTTGGAATATAACAGAGAACAATACATTCTCACATTGTTACAGTTCTCTTTGTTCTGGAAGACTACAGCACTTAACAATGAATTCAGTTAAATTTAGCAATAGATTTCCTAAAGGAACTATTGAATAAATGAAAGCAAAACAAATCAGCTTAAAGTTTAGATTGATAAAATTAACCATGAGGGCTTTTTAAATTTCATTTTATAATGTCTTCCAAGTCAGATGCCATGTGACTACAGATTTATAACTGAGTAGGATTTGGGTGGTAATAATAACAGCCACAACAACTAATCTTCATCTAAGTACAGACACTAAATACAGGCACTAAGAACTTAGTGTACATTAATTTCTTTAGTCTTCACAATGATCCTATGATGTAGCATATTAGTTCCCTTGTGTTGCCGTAACAAATTACCAAATATCTGGAAGTTTAAAACAACAGAAATTTATTCTTTCAGAGTTCGAGAGGAGAACCTATTCTTTGGTTCTTCCGGCTTTTGGTAGCTGTTGATATTTGACTTGAGGCTAACCACAATACTCCAATATCTATTGGCATGGTCACATTTCCTCCTCTTCTCCTGTCTGTGTCTCCTCTTTGTCTCTTATAAGAATACTTGTCACTGGATTTAGGACTCACCTATTATTCCAGGATGATTTCCTTGTCTCAAGTTCTTTAGCTTAATTACATCTGCAAAGACTCTTTTCCAAAATAAAGTAACATTCACAAGTTCCAAGGATTAGGAGGTGGACATATCTTTTGGAGGCGACAATTTAACCCACTACAGGTAGGTAATGTTACTACATCTATTTTATAAATAAACAATCAAATAAACAAACAAAAAGAAACATACTAGCTAACATTTACTGGACTATATGTCATGAATTATACTATTTTATGTACATTGCTATTTATGTTCGTAAACATCTCACAAGGCAGATACAATTATTAACATTTTACAGATAAGGAAACAAGGTCTGAGAGAATTTGCTCAATATCTCAGGGCTTATAAATGGTAAAGTCAGGATTCAAGTACAGAATTGTGTGACTCCAGAGCCTGCACACTGAAACACTAACCAACCTTATACCTCTAACATGACTACCTATGTTAGGAGTTTCAAAGATGGTGGGAATCTCACAGGGTGTTGAGATCAAGTATTAAACTTCAAATTACTATTCTGATACTCATAAGCACTATGACCTTTTTTTTTTTTAATTAAGTTTATTGGGGTAACATTGGTTAATACAATCATATAATTTTCAGGTGTACATTATCACTTGACATCTGTATATTCTATTGTGTGTTCACTACCCAAAGTCCAGTTTCCTTCAGCTACCATATATTTGATCCCCTTTACTCACTTTACCTCCCCCTACCCTACATTGGAGGATTGTCTTTAAGAATTATGTTTTTTGGAGGAAAATATATATGAGACCTAGTAATTTACTGTTTATTGAATATATGCAGTGAGGAATGAGTCAAAGATGACTCTTAGTTTGCTAGCAAACCTAGTGGTCTCAATTTGAAATTAAATTGCATTCATATTTGGATTTAAGACAAGTCAATGGTTTTCTGGTGAATGGATAACTCACCAGAACTATATTTGTAGTGTAGACACAGACACCTCTTGGGAGTTAGAGAGTTATAAAGGAAGTGTAGAGCGCTTAGATTCACAAACTTGACTCACAAGACTCGGTTGTTAGAAGGAGGAATTCAGCTTATTTTCTGTCTCTCAGATTTATCTACAGCTCCTTTTCCTTCATATTATTCTATAAGTTCTAGAAAAAAAAAGATCATTTAAGTAAAAACTCTCTAAACTGTTTAACATCAAGAGCCATTGTCATTTTGTGCTCTCATTTTGTCTCATCTCATTGTTTTTTGTTTCTCCTTTCCTACCTTCTTTTGAGTTGATAGATATTTTTTTTGTATTCAATTTTAATTTATCTTCTGTCTTTCAGCTTATATCTCTATGCATTTTTTAATGGTTGCTCTAGGGATTACATTATGCATCATTAACTTATCACAATCTATTTAGAATTAATATTCTACTACTTCTCATAAACTTATAAGAAACTCGTAATAGTATATAGTTCCATTTATACCTTCTGCCCTTTGTACTAGCATTCTTATATATCTACATATATATAAACCTCACAATATAAAATATATTTGCTTTAAATAGTCATATAATGTTTA